GAGAAAGAAGGAGAGAGGGTAGGAAGGGGAAGAGAGGAGTAGGGGAGAGGTAAGGGAAGAAGGAAGGGAAAGGAGAGAGGAAGGAAGAAAGTAGAGAAGGGAGGGAGGGAGAAAAGAAAAAACATAATAATAGAAAAAGGAAGAGAGGAAGAGGAGGGAAGGAAGATAGAGGTAAGGAGAGGAGGATGGAAGGGAGAGAAAGAAGGAGAGAGGGTAGGAAGGGGAAGAGAGGAGTAGGGGAGAGGGAAGGGAATAAGGAAGGGAAAGGAGAGAGGGAGGAAGAAAGAGAAGGGAGGGAGAAAAGAAAGAACTTATAATAATAGAAAGAGAAAGGAATAGGAGAGGAGAGCAGAGGAAAAGGAGGGAAGGAAGATAGAGGTGAGAGGAAAATGGAAGGGAGGAGGAGAGAGGGCAGGAAGGGGAAGGGGAAGAGAGGAGTAGGGGAGAGGGAAGGGAATAAGGAAGGGAAAGGAGAGAGGGAGGAAGAAAGGGGAGGGAGGGAGAAAAGAAAGAACTTATAATAATAGAAAAAGAAAGGAATAGGAGAGGAGAGCAGAGGAAAAGGAGGGAAGGAAGATAGAGGTGAGAGGAAAATGGAAGGGAGGAGGAGAGAGGGCAGGAAGGGGAAGGGGAAGAGAGGAGTAGGGGAGAGGTAAGGGAAGAAGGAAGAAAGAAAGAAGGAGAGGGGAGGAAGAGGAAGAGGGGGAAGAGAGGATGGAAGGGAGAGAAAGAGAAGGAGAGGGGAGGAAGGGGAAGAGTAGGAGTAGGAGAAAGGGAAGTGAGGGAGAGGAGGATGAAAGGAAGAGAAAGAGAAGGAGAGGGGAGGAAAGGAGAGAGGAAGAGAGGAGTAGGGGAGAAGGAAGGGAAAGGAGAGAAGGAAGGAAGGAAGTAGAGAAGGGAGGAAGAGAAAAGAAAGTGGTGTCAAAACAGGCGAGGGATGGTAAACAAAGCAACCCAAATGGTATATTATAACCCTGTAAATGGAACAACAAATGCATAAGAATAATGAATATAAAAAAATGTGAATGTATACCTATAATTATACGTAAGAGAACAAAAAATAAACTTTTCTGGGTTAGGGTTTAGGGTGCTTCGCTTTAAGTTCGCTTGGATCACGTCTCCCATCAATTCATGGTTCTCTTTTCTTTTCTTTCCCATTAGAAACTGTCAGCTCTCAGCACCAGCCTGGCTCGAGTCGTTGCTCCTAACATAGAGGATGAAGCTGAAGTGGATGAGTTTCCTGTGGAAGGAGTGAGTGACACCCCCACCCCCTTTTGGGGGGGGGTGTCAAGGAAAATACTTTCCCAAGACGCAGGATGTTGTGGGGGACTGAAGTAGTTATTGTTAAGAAAATGCCAGTGTAAAGTTCCCTAACAATGCCTGATTCATAATTAGTGACCCGATATTGTAATACAAAATGCAGTGATTTATTAACAGCTTCATTAGGCGTTTTGTATTTGCAGCCATTTTTTTTTTGCTTTCTTTATTTGCTTCTGAACTTTGCCCGTGTTCCTTTCCTCCCTTCAGTCTGTGTCATAAATCACATTACCCAATAGTTGCATCCATCTCAACCCAGCTGCTCTAATCTGAGATCCGACTCCGCTGACGCTCTGCATGGAATGTCCATACAGAGTCTCCCGAACTCAAGAAAGATAGCTGGCAATAGCACTTATATACCACTTCACAGTGTTTTACAGCCCTCTCTAAGCGGTTTACAGAGTCAGCCTCTTGCCCTCCAACAAAATCTGGGTCCTCGTTTGACCCACCTTGGAGGGATGGAAGGCTGAGTCAGCTTTGAGCCGGCAAGGATCGAACTGCTGGCAATCGGCAGAATTAGCCTGCAATACTGTATTCTACAGGAAGGAAGGAAGGAAGGAAGGAAGGAAGGAAGGAAGGAAGGAAGGAAGGAAGGAAGGAAAACAGCATTTAGACTTATATACTGCTTTACGGTGCTTTACAACCCTCTCTAAGCGGTTTACAGAGTCAGCCTCTTGCCCCGCAACAATCTGGCTCCTCATTTGACCCACCTCGGAAGGACGGAAGGCTGAGTCATCCTTGAGCCTGGTGAGATTCGAACTGCCAAATTGCAGGCAGCCGGCAATCTGCAGAAGTAGCCTGCAGTACTGCACTCTTAACCACTTGCGCCACCGTGGCTCGTGTAGTGATTCTTCGAAGATGATTTCTTCACTGTTCCAAACCTATAGACAGAATTGAAACACAACATTACATGCCCGAAGCATACTCTGGCAACTGTTAGGAAGAGGCTGCCTTCACCCTCTTTCTCTCACACAAACTCTCCAAATTGGGTTTCCTTCCGGCTCCTCCGGAATGCAAGCCCCTCCCTCCTGGGAATCCAGACGACGTTCCATCGCATCGAATTAAATACACGGAAGGCCCGAAATTTTTGTCCCTTCGTTCATTTTGGTGCCCATAACCTTTTGCCACACGGAGAAGGGAATTGATAGAGCTTTCTCTCTTTCTCTCTCTACCCAGGAAACTGCCGAACAAGAGGAGACCAGGAAGAAGGAAGAAGAGGATCTGGAGAAACAGAAGAAGCTCTTCGAAGGGCTGCAATTCTTCCTCAACCGGGAGGTGCCGCGCGAACCCTTAGCTTTTGTCATCAGGTGTGTTAAGTCTTCGCCTTCGTCTCACCGGCTCTCTTCTGGACCTCGGGGCAAGGGTGGGACTAACGTTGTGTTGCTCTACAGCCCTTTGAGTGGTGGGCTGCATTTAGGTCATGGTTGAAGGTGAGCCTCCTGTAAGCATCTCCACTAGGACCACCAGGAAGTGTCAATGTGCCTGATAATGGATGTAATCTTACTCCGGGGGAGGCGGTGTGTGTAAGTTGTCTTCCCCCTCTGGCTATGCTTTTTTCAAGAGGCAGCGGTTGAAGCCCGTCAGCGGCCAGTGGAGCTGGCGGCAGAGTCAGACCGTGAGGAGGGTTGGGGAGGAACCTGGGCCAGTCCTGGAGTCTGGGGAAGGCTCTGATGAGGGCTCTGTGTCGGAGGCAGGGAGGGGGCCAGGGCCATCCGATAGTTATCAGCTGCCTTCGGAGTCGGGCGTCAGTGAGGCAGAAGAACAGCTGGAGCCTGTTCCTGATGTGCGCATGCGCAGAGCTGCCAGGAGAAGGGAACAGTTAAGGAACAAGGGCCAACTCGGGAATAAAGCCACAGGTGGACGGTGAATGGCCCCTCCCAGAGGGAATAAAAGAGGAGCGAAAGGGGAGTGGAGCTTGCAGGAGTTCAACTCATTCGGGTGAAGATCTGTTCCTGACTTCTTGCCAAGTAATTGCTGTTACAACGTGGCGTTTGGAAGATATCGGCCCGGCAGCGCTCCAAGCCTGATCAAGGTCTGTAGTTGTGAAATCTCCCGCAAGACTGCCGGCCGGGGCTTTGCTGGAGAGGAATTCCCTCGAACCTAAATAAAAGAGGGTTTATCGGGACGAGGAGTCGGCTTCGTGATCTTGGGAAGCCTAGGTCAGAACAGCAACTGAACCTTCTCGTTTTTCTTCGAAGACATTTCGCTTCTCCTCCAAGAAGCTTCTTCAGCTCTGAGTGAGTTGTGCCTTCTTCATAAATTCTGTGGCCTGTTGAGCTGAAGAAGCTTCTTGGAGGAGAAGCGAAATGCCTTCAAAGAAAAAAGAACCAGAAAGTCCAGTGGCCTCTTGAAAAAGCGCCTTTGGGACACTGTTTAACCTGGCTGAGAATCTAGACATCCCCCTCTGGCTATCTAAAGATTAAATGTTCCTCCTTTTTTTGATGACTCCATGGGGCAAAACGCACTTTAAACTATAGAGCTTGGGAAGGGGAATCTCTTGTGACATCCTAAGAGATTCTCAACCATCCAGGCCAATGGTTGTCCCCACAGTGCTTTTTCCAACAATACAAACACGTATTGTAAACAAGTATCATGTAGAATTAAATCAGAGTCCAAGGCAAAACGATCCTTAAAGTTCCAATTTAATAAATCAGACATCTTAGCACATCTGTGTTAGTCCCAATTCTGGAAATGCCATCCGAATCCCACCCAGTTAAAAGTTCATGTTCTTGTCCCCACACCCACAATCCATCACGTGGTCCAATCTTCTTCTTCCACGCTGGCATCCACACCCAGCTGCTTCCGGTCAGGTGGAAAGGTGCGGAGACAAAAGATGACCTTGGTCTTCTAGAAAAGAATGACAACGATACATTCCACAATCCTACTCCTGTCTATTCCCCCCTCCCATCAACTATACTAATGAGACAGCATAATGAAATAAGAGAAGGCAGGCCAAAATTCAAAAAGGAAATATAATTGCAGGCCTGACACTCTCTTTTAAATTTAAGCATGCCTTTTTTTTTAAATATGCTTTTTTATTTTCCATTTTGTATACTATTACATAGCCCATATCCTATTGCATTAAGTAGTAATTACATCAGTTCCTCTTGCCATCAACGCCCAGAAAGATAAAAACCCATTATTCTGCTCTCCATACACCTCTTTCTTCTGCCTCTCTCCTACCTCCTTTCTTCCCTCCATCATCCTTTACTTCCCCTTCCTTTCTCCTTCTCCTCTCTCTTCATTCCACTCCTCCTTATCCTCCTCATCTTCCCCTCTCTCCTATCCCTCTCTTCCTATCTTTCTTCTCTCCTCTGCTTCCCACTCTTCCTCTCATTCACTTGGTGTATTTCAGCTTCTGAGCAAACTCCATTCTATGTTGATGGTAATTTATGCTTCCATATCAACATACTTAACATATCTTAGTTTTAAAGAAAAAAATAAGAGAAGACAGTATACATGTGCAATCATATTACTTTAAAATCTAACACCCCTTGTCAAGCTTCATATTCATCCCTCCCAACCCCCCAACTCCCCCCCCCCAGCCTTCCCTCCCCCTACTTCCCAGAACCCATACACGGTATAAATCTTTAACAAAAACAGTCTAAAATATATTGGAAAAAAGAATAGGGAAAAAAATAACATGCCTTTGAAGGCAAAATCCGTCGCTAGCTCTGGCTGAGACCCTCCTCTCCTTCCCCAGGTGCTTTGGGGGCAAAGTGTCGTGGGACAAGTCGGTCTGCATTGGCGCCACCTACGATGTTGCGGATCCAAGCATCACCCACCAGATTGTGGACCGCCCAAACGCAGAGAATCAAGTGGTTGGAAGGTGAGAACTGCCCTTTGGGTAATCCCCCCCCCCCCCAAAAAAAAACCGGATATCGAATTTTAAGGGCCCGTGCTGTGAAATGTCACAAAAGCGAATTAACTCCCACCTTGTTCGTCTGCGTCAGATCTTGGCTCAGGAATGGAGCTTGTGGAATAGTCCTCGGCTTACAAGAGTTCGCTTAGGGACCATTCGAAGCGAGAGTGGCACTGAGAACAGTGACTTGTGATTCTTTTTTCCTACGTACGACCATTGCAAAACACACACCATCAAAATTCAGCCCCCCCCCCCCCCCCGGCAACTGGCTCATATTTCTGACGGTTGCAGTGTTCCTTCACCAGAAGGGGTGGGGTGAGAGCCAGATCCACTGAATGACCGTGTAACTAACTTAACGACCGCAGTGTTTCACTTAACAACTGTGGCCAGAGAGGTGGTTAAGTGGGGCCAAAACCCACTTCACAGTGGTCTAAACCGCAGACATTTGGGGTTCAGTTGTGCTCGTAAGCAACAGCGCTGAGACTTATATACCGCTTTGCAGTGCTTTCCAGCCACCTCTAAGCGGTTCACAGAGTCAGCCTCTTGCAAACCCCAACCATCCAGGTCCTCGTTTGACCCACCTCGGAAGGACGGAAGGCTGAGTCAACCTTGAGATGGATAGATGGATGGATGATAGATAGATAGAAGATGGATGGATGGATGGATGGATGGAAGGGAGGGCGAAAGGAAGAACAAAGGAATAATAATAGCACTTAGACTTATATACTGCTTCATAGTGTTTTACAGCCGTCTCTAAGCGGTTGACAGAGTCAGCCTCTTGCCCCCAACAATCTGGGTCCTCATTTGACCCACCTCGGAAGGACGGAAGGCTGAGTCAACCTTGAGATGGATAGATGGATGGATGATAGATAGATAGAGGACGGATGGATGGATGGATGGATGGATGGAAGGGAGGGAGGGAGGGAGGGAGGGAGGGGAAAAGGAAGAACAAAGGAATAATAATAGCACTTAGACTTATATGCCGCTTCACAGTGCTTTCCAGCCCTCTCTAAGCGGTTTACAAAGTCAGCCTCTTGCCCCCCAACAATCTGGGTCCTCATTTGACCCACCTCGGAAGGATGGAAGGCTGAGCCAACAACCTTGAGCCTGGTGAGATTCGAACTGCCAAATTGCAGGCAGCCGGCAGAAGTAGACTGCAGTACCGCACTCTAACCACTGCGCCATCGCGGCTCATTGTACATTGTGGTAAGAGGACAATGTACAACTGACATTCTAATGTACCCATTTCAAAGTTAGCTTTTCCTCTCTTCCCAGATATTACCTCCAGCCTCAGTGGGTTTTCGACTCGGTCAACGCCAAGATGCGCCTTCCGGTGGCCGATTACTTCCCCGGCGTAATGCTGCCTCCACATCTCTCCCCGTTTGTCTCCGAGAAAGAAGGAGACTATATGCCCCCAGAGAAGCTGAAACTTTTGGCCTTGCAAAAGGGTGAACAACCAGGTATCCAGCTGTTCCTGGGCTTCTGGCGAGCGTATTGTATTCAGTGGGAGGGGCTGAGAATTTGGAGTTTCTCAGCAACCGTTGTGGCCCGCCAGTGGAGCTGGCAGCAGATTCGGACAGTGAGGAGAGTTGGGGAGGAACCTGGGCCAGTTCTGGAGTCTGCGGAAGGCTCTGATGAGAGTTCTGTGTCGGAGGCAGAGAGGCGGCGAGGGCCGTATGCCAGTTATTAGCTGCCTTCAGAATCAGACATCAGTGGGGCAGAAGAACAGCTGGAGCCTGTTCCCAGTGTGCGCATATATAGAGTTGCCAGACGAAGGGAACAGCTAAAGAACAGGGGTTGACTTGGGAGTCAGGCCACAGGTTGGCGGTGAATGGCCCCTCCCAGAGGGAATAAAAGAGGAGCGAAAGGGGAGTGGAGTTTGCAGGAGACCATTAGTTCGCTTCATTGGTTCGTGACTCTCCGAGACTCCTTGNGGAGGAGGGTGGAAGGGAGAAAGAAAGAGGGTAGGAATGGGAAGAGAGGAGTGGGGAAGAGGTAAGGGAAGAAGGAAGGAGAGGAGGAAGGAAGGAAGTAGAGAAGGGGGAAAGGAAAAGGAGAGGGTGGAAGGGAGAGAAAGAGAAGGAGAGGGTAGGAAGGGGAAGAGAGGAGTAGGGGAGAGGTAAGGGAAGAAGGAAGGAGAGGAGGAGGGAAGGAAGGAGAGAAGGGGGAAGGAAAGGAGAGGAGGGTGGAAGGAAGAGAAAGAGAAGGAGAGAGGGTAAGAAGGGGAAGAGGAGTAGGGGAGAAGGAAGGAGAGGAGGAGGGAAGGAAGTAGAGAAAGGGGAAGGAAAAGGGAAAGGAGAGGGTGGAAAGAAGAGAAAGAGAAGGAGAGAGGGTAGGAGTGGGAAGAGAGGAGTATGGAAGAGGCAAGGGAAGAAGGAAGGGGAAGGAGGAAGAAAGTAGAGAAGGAAGGGAGGGAGAAAAGAAAGGGAAAATAAGGTGGTGTTACAACAGGCGCTAGGGATGGTAAACAAAGCAACCCAAATTGCATATTACAACCTATTAAATGGAATAACAAATGTATAAGAACCACAAGTGTAAAGAAGAATAACAATTACGTGAAGGTATATTTACAATGGCATGTAAGAGAATAAAAAAATAAAAAACGTTTGGAAATAAACCATGGTTTGGCTTAGCCATGGTTTAGGGAGCAAACCCCAGTTAGCTCAGCTCAACCCCCCCACCCCAGCCGGGAGGATGAAGTCCCATCCAAAACCAAAGTGATGCCATTTTGGGCTTCACCCCAGCCCATCAAAAGCTAACTGGGGGTGGGTGGGGGGGTGGGGGGCACCCCATTGGGATCCTGATCCCGAGCCCCCCACCCATTGCCTGCGGATGGCTCCCCCAGGCCCAAATGGGGGGGGGGGGGGGTTTGCNATCGTTCCAGAGGGTCGGAGCAGCCACAGAGAAGGCTCTCCTCCGGGTAGTCGCCAGTCGACACTGGCCGGCGGATGGAATTCAGAGGAGGCCTAGGGAGGCTTCCTGCTATTAGGAAGCCCGGGTCAGAACGTTGAGGCAGAGTCTTCTGAGCTTTTCGGACTCATGCTGGAGCCCATCTTCCGGGAACTCCTCTTGTGAGAATTGGACATAGCAAATTTTTTTTTCCCCTTTCTTTTTGTTCTTCAGGCAAACAAATTGGCGGAGAAGCGAAAAGCTCACGATGCGGCTGTAAAATCGAACAAGAAGAAAAGCAAGAAGGCACGGCGGGAATAGCGGAGCCCGTCTCGTTTCAGGCCATCGTTTCATTAACGCAGCCCTGGGAAACGGACCTGGGGCCTAAAGCCAGTTCTTTCACGTGGAGATGGACAATATTGGAATCCGGAGCTTTGCCCGAGTCCCCTCTTCATAAGCAGAACCGATCGGGAGAAAAGCCGCGGTATTGAAAAGACATGTCAAATCTTCTTTCCATTCAGTTTTTCTCTTTATCACACTCACTGTAACAGCCTCGAGGAGAGGAACAGTCCTCCTTTTGCCAAGGACACATAAAATAGCAAACAGACAAACAAGGTTCCTATCTGGAATCAGAAAATTGGTTTGATTTTCTGAGCAGAGTGGGGTTATATTTCTCTTCTCCCCCCTTTTAATTTTGGCACAGAATCCAAACATTTTTGAAGTTCTCGCCGCCTTATTTTAAATAAGGACCCCCTTATTTTAAGACTCGTTCAACATCCCCTTGCCGCGTGTGTAAATAAAATCTTAAGATCGCTTTAGCTGCGTGCCTTCGTTGGAGGGTGACTCCTAGCCAGCAACGCTTGCTCGTTTTGCAAACGTTGTGGTAACTTTGTGGTTTTGCAGTTGTAAATTACAGCACGGCGAAGGAGGAGTTATTAAAACTCTTTGAGTTTTGGACGTTCAGCTGTCGGTCTGCACCCATCTCTTTTTTTCTTTCTTTCTTAACTCAGTGTGACGGGGAGGCGTACACTGTATAAACACAATGATAAAATAAGCGAACAACAGACAACAGGTTAAAACGGAGAGCTGAAATGTGTCAAGGCTGGCTTGACTTATTAACCAAGGAAGAAACCACTCAACTTGAGCCGAGGTGGCGCAGTGGTTAAATGCAGCACTGCAGACTACTTCAGCTGACTGCAGTTCGGCTGTTCAAATCTCACC